GCGTGTGCGTGTATGTGAGTATGTGCGTGCGCGTGTGCGTGTATGTGAGTGTGTGCGTGCGCGTGTGCGTGTATGTGAGTGTGTGCGTGCGCGTGTGCGTGTATGTGAGTGTGTGCGTGCGCGTGTGCGTGTATGTGAGTGTGTGCGTGCGCGTGTGCGTGTATGTGAGTGTGTGCGTGCGCGTGTGCGTGTATGTGAGTGTGTGCGTGTATGTGAGTGTGTGCGTGTGCGTGTGCGTGCGCGTGTGCGTGTGCGTGCGTGTGTTGTGTGTGAGCAAGAGAGAATGCAACCGCATGTCCTTAAAATGTCATGTGTATGCGCGCGTGTAGCAGTCAGCTGATCGTCGCAAGGGCCCCGCGTACCGCCTGCGTCTGACAGTAAGTTGCGCACCCCTGTCTACCTTCCATATGCGGCTCCCAGATAGCACATGGACGTCCAGTGGACGTTCAATGGATGTTCAAGTTTGGACATCGGGACATCCATAGTCGGTCCAAATATAGTCCAACGAACGTCCATAGGAAATCTTATGGACGTCCGTTATGCACAACCTCGGACGTCCACTGAACATTCGAAAAAAGGACTTAAAATGGATCTTAATTTTTAACGCTCTATTTTTCATAATTACTACTGGAATAAACTTAAAAATTCTATAAAAGAAAAGTTTAGAAATAATAACAAATCTGAAATGCAGGATTAATTAATTATATAATTTATTATAAAACATAAAAAATCAAGTCAATATTTTGAGTTATTGTAATAATATATATTAGGAGACTTATGCAAATACATATTTATAAGTAGATTATAGACAATATGTATATACTATATTGAATAATATATATATATATATATATATTATTCAGTTATATAACGTGATTTTTAAAGAACTATCACTTATAATTTCAATTTAGAATTAAGAGATATAAAGAAAACTGATTAATTGCTTTTATTTTTGTTTTTATATAAATTATAAGATATATACTTATATCTCTTTCTATAATATTTGTTAATCATATTAAAAACATTTATGTTCTT